GACTGATCTTTCCTGTTCAGAACTTTTTAAAAGAACACCATGGTGAGTGAGAAAGGGTTAAAAAAGAAGTCCCTGAGCTCCACTTAAGTGGCTTCTGCCATCAGCTTACACTTTACGTTTATACCTGGGGGGAGGTAAAAGCAGGCGGTTTTTTAAATCTGAAGAATATATTTGAAAAAAAAATATTTTTTTAAAATATATTTCGATTTTTTTTCACATATAAAAAAGTCATTTTAATCACTTGAGCTCCTGAGGATTTACCCCCCTTAATGACCAGGCCTCTTTTTGCTACTCGGCGCTGCACTAATTCAACTGATAATTGCGCAGTCATGCAATGCTGCACCCAAACGAAATTTACGTCCTTTTTTTCACACAAATAGAGCTTTCTTTTGGTGTAATTTGATCACCTGTGCGTTTTTTATTTTTCACGCTATAAACAAAAAAAGGCCAAAAATTTTGAAGAAAAACAATATTTTTTATTTTCAGCTATAAAAAATATATAGTAAATTCAAAGTTGGTTATAAATTTAGGCCAAAATGTATTCTGCTACATGTTTTTGGTAAAAAAAAATCCCAATAAGTGTATATTGATTGCTTTTTGTGGAAGTTATAGCGTCTACAAACTGTGGTATAAATACTGCAATTTACGCCATTTTTTTGCTATACAGAGCTGCGCTAGATTGATGAACAATTGCGCGGTCATGCAATATGGTACATAAATGAAATTTACATCCTTTTTTCCCCACAAATTTAGCTTTCTTTCGGTGGTATTTGATCGCCTGTGCAGTTTTTATTTTTTGCGCTTTAAAAAAAAAATGCTGACAATTTTGAGGAAAAAAAATTTAGTCATAAATTTCTGCCAAAATGCATTCTGCGACAAGTCTTTGCTAAAAGAAAAAAAAACAATACGTGTAAATTAATTGGTTTACGTGAAAGTTATAGCGTTTACAAATGGCGAGAAAGATACTGGGATTTTTAGGTTTTTTTTTATACTAATAATGGCGGCGATCAGCAAATTATGGCGGCGATCAGGGACTTATGGCAGCGACTTATGGCGGGACTGCGGGACTGCGGGACTGCGGCGGACATTTTGAAATTGGGGGGTACTGACTTGGGGTCACTGACATCCCCAAAAACACTAATACAGTGATCAGTGCAAAAAAAAAAAAAACTGACACTGTACTAATGACACTGGGGAGGAAGGGGTTAACTTTATTTTTCAGGGAAGGGTTATAGGAGTGAGGGGAGTGTTTTACTAGGGGGGGGGGGGGGTGTGTACTGGACGGGACAAGGCTGATCGAGAAAGAGAAACTGTTCTTTCTCGATCAGCTCATCCTCGAGCTGAGAAGGAAGTGACAGACAGCACAGCTACTGCAGCTGTGCTCTCTGTCACTGTTTGCCGCCGATCGCCAGGACATAGCCGCTAAGGACCGGCTGTGACCCGGGGACTGACATCTGCGGCGGTGATCCGCGGGACAAATAGGGCGGCGGTGTGCCTCGCGCGCGCCCCCTATTTGTTTACAAAACACACGTCTTAAAACGTGCTTTTGCCTGTGAGTGCCGCCCTGCCGCCGTATATGTACAGTGGCTGGGCGGCATGCAGTTAACATATATTTTTACATATATTTGTAAATGCATTCCAAAAATGTAGGTTTGTATTTTTAAAGACATACAGTATATTTGAAATGTATTTTTAAAAATATTTTTCACATATTTGTATATTGTAATAAAAACGCATTTCAACATGTAGAGTGTGTGTATATAATTTTTTTTTTTAATTGAAATATATTGAATATGGCCAATATTGTAGCATTTCAAATATATGTCAATATATTTGGGAAGAATATTTTTTAAATACATTTCAAATATATTTTTCTACCGTATGGGCAGCACAGCTGCTTTGCATCATAGTGTAGAGGCAATTATAACCCTTGTCGCATTCAGTGGGCAGTACTATCTGCAGAACGTGACCCATTCAAGTCAAACACACTGCAACCACATGCAATGAATACGGTTGTGACACAATGGTTTGGACTTTTGGGGATTAAAACAGCTAGTGAAGAGACAACATTTTTCCTCCTCACTGCCTATCAGTCACCCTCTGAAAAGCAATCCTCTGAGGATTGCTCTTCAGAAGATAAGGCTTATGTAAATTAAGAGGCTGCAATAGAGGGCTAATCTGTGCCAGACATTTGTGAAAACATCCAAGACAGGACAGGCTTCAGGAATTACATGGTTATGTCATTTCATAGGTAGTATTTTAGTCCATGAAGTAGATGCTAACCCTGGATGATGTCTGAAAAAAGTTTGCACTATCCTTCTGGGAAAAAAAAAAAGATTAAGGCATCATCAGATGGAAGTATTGTGATTTCAGTGAGAGGTAATTAATCCCTATACTTGGCATTGTTCATTGTTAGACCCGAGTCTAAGAAGCCCTAACAGTTCAAGCAGGGGCGGACTGATCATTTGGAAACTCGGGCACTGCCCGAGGGCCCGGGGTCAGTAGGGGGCCCCATGAGGTGCCCCTGGTACCTTTTTCATAGGCTTTTTTTAGTTTGGGCAAGGACACAGGGGTCCCATGATCCCCTATTGCCCGGGGGGGCCCCATGAGTTGTCAGTCCGCCCCTGAGTGCAAGTCACTCTGTCAAACTGACTCGCTCTGTTGTATGCAGGCAGTGCCTTTTGGAGGGGTAGCCAGCCCACTGTTGCCATCATAGTGGCAGCCAGATATTTTTTCAGGTAAGTGAACACTGCTCCCACTGACCACCAATAAAAGAGGAAAAACAGGGCTGACCACCAATGGGGGGCACACAAGTCTGCCCACAAATGGGGGGCACACAAGATTGATCAACTAATGGGGGGAACACAAGACTGACCACCAATGGGGACACACAATTGAGCAACCAATGGGGCCAAACATGAGAGATCACAAATAAGACTGACCACCAATGGGGGGGCACACAAGACTGACCACCAATGGGGGGGCACACAAGACTGACCACCAATGGGGGGCACACAAGGCTGACACCAATGGGGGGCATACAAGACTGACCACCAATGGAGGGCACACAAAACTGACCACCAATGGAGGGCAAAGACCACTGACCAGGAGTATTTAAAGAGACACACACTCCATTTACCAGCAATAATAAAGGGGTTACACACCACTGACCACCAACATTTATGGGGTTGCTCATCACTGACAATCAAAATTTAATATAGTACTCACCATTGATCGCCAAGCTAAGGGAGTACTTGCTTCTGATAACTGCACTTTGCAAGTTGTGCTGTACATTATATAGTTCTGTCACTCTGACTAGTGCACTGTATAGGCTATGTTATACATTACATAGTCCTAACTGCTGCACCTTATACTTTATGTTGTATGTTACATAGTCCTGATCATTGCAATGTATAAACTGTATTGTACATTGCACTGCCCTGCTATTGACATGGATACATTATGTTGTACCTTACACAGTTTTAACCTTGGTTGGAGAGAGTCAGCAGCCCCGGGTAAGCACCATCTACATAAAACTACAGCTTATACAAAGCTGGATTTCTTCTTTCTTGGTAGCTAAACATCATGACAGGGAAGCAGAGAAAATTATTATTATTATACAGGATTTATATAGCGCCAACAGTTTGCTCAGTGCTTTACAATATAGCGGGAGACAATACAGCAACAATACAGTTCAATGCAAGAGGGATAGGAGGGCCCTGCTCCTTGGAGTATACAATCTAGGAGAAATGGTGAGTATATGCTGCTAGAGCAGGCAATAAATATAAATATAATAAATAAATATAATAAAATGAACCTGTTCCACTGTTACAAGGCAATGTGCCGCTGGGGAAGTGAGCATTAAAGTAACCTGTTGCAGTGTCCTGCATGGGCCTAAGCACAGGTTTACTTTAAAGCGGTAGTACACTCTTATAAAAAAAACTTCTTTCTGCAATTTAGGGTAATAATTTGCTAGCATGCATCTTATACTAGCACATTAAGAAAGACTTACCTTAAAATGAAGCCCTCCAGTGGCATGCTGTCACCTTTGACACTGCTTCCATTTTCACCCAGTTTTCCTTCCGTGTTCGTGGGTTTCCGGCCGTTTGAATGACATCATTCCTGTGGCACAGACCTCATGAGTATGCCTTCCCTTCTGAGCGCATGCGCTCGTGACATCACCAGCTGCAGAAACAGTGAATATCTCCTAAACACATTTAGGAGATACTCCTTATACATGTAGGTAAGCTTTATCCACTTGCCTACCAGGCACTTATACCCCCCTCCTTACCAGGCCAATTTTCAGCTTTCAGTGCTGCGCACTTTGATTGACAATTGCGCGGTCATGCAACATTGTACCCATATGAAATTTTGATCATTTTTTTCTCACAAATAGAGCTTTCTTTTGGTGGTATTTAATCTCCACTGGGCGCTTTACTTTTTGCGCTATAAATAAAAAAAGTGCAAAAAATTTGAAAAAAAAAAAAAAAAGTTTATTTGTTTCTTTTATAAAATTTTTCAAACAGGTATTTTTTCTCCTTCACTGATGTGCGTTGATGAGGCAGCACTGATAGGTGGCACTGATGGGCACTGATAGGCAGCACTAAAGGGCACTGATAGGCAGTACTAATGAGGTGGCACGGATAGGCGGCACTGATAGACAGCACTAATTAGGGGTCACGGATAGGCGGCACTGATAGGCGGCACTGATAGGTGACACTGATTATGGGTACTGATAGACGGCACTGACTGGCATCACTGCTGGGCACTGACTGGCGGCACTGACTGGCACAACCCCTGGGCACTGACTATTGGCACTGACTGGCAGCACTGCTGGGCTGCACTGGTGGGTGGCACTGGTGGGCAGCACTGGTGGGTGGGCACAGGTGGGTGGCACTGGTGGGCACAGGTGGGTGGCACTGGTGGGCACAGGTGGGTGGCACTGCTGGGGTGGCACTTCTGGGCACAGGTAGGTGGCACTGCAGAGTGGCACAGGTGGGTGCACTGCTGGGCACAGGTGGGTGCACTGCTGGGCACGGGTGGGCGGAGCTAGTGGGCACACTGCTGGGCGGAACTTGCGGGTGTCACTGCTGGGCACCGATCATCAGGGCACTGATCATCAGTGCCCTGATGATCGGTGCCGATCCCCGCTCTGACAACTGCCGGTTCTCGGCAGTACTTTCCTCACGATCTGACAGCGTGCGGAAAGTGCAGCCGAGAACCGGCACTTGCATTTCCCTGTGATCAGCATGTCATTGGACACCGCTGATCACGTGGTAAAAGGCCGCTGTGATTGGCCTTTTACCACATCACGTGATCAGCTGTGTCCGTAGGACACAGCGATCACGGAGATCGCCGGGTGCGCGCCCCCTGGGGCGCGCAGGAGAGCGCGTTCTGGAAGGACGTCATATGAAGTCCACCCAGAACTGGCCGGCCGCAGTGAAGCCGTCATTTCGGCTATGCGCGGTCGGCAAGAGGTTAATATAAGCTTAGCTATAGGTACAAATGTCCAAGTGGTGTTTACTATCACTTTATAGCCCAGCTGCAATTCTTGCTGGCTAGCAGTAGTAGCTCACTGATCAATTTCACTTTTTACCTGCAACTACTCTTTAACCACTTCCACGCCCGCCATATAGTAATATGATGGGTGCAAGGTGGTTTCTCTCGTTCTGGGAGGACGTCATATGACGTCCTCCCATTATCACTGCGCATGTGCGGCTCAGGGGGCATGCAGCGCTGCGATCGGCAGTGCGCTGTGTCCCTCGGACACAGCAGATCACCGATCACGGAAAGAGCCAAAGATGTCGGCTCGGTCATGTGTCCAATCACAGCTGATCACATGTAAACAGGGAAATGCCGGTTATCGGCATTTCTCTCCTCTCGAGTTGTCACGCTGACAGCTCGAGAAGAGAGGAGAGACGGTAATCGGCTTTCCGCGGAGGGGACATGTACACTGATCATCAGGGCACTAATGATCAGTGTGCCCTGATGATCAGTGTAGCCCCAGCAGTGCCACCTGTCAGTGTCCATCAGTGCCTTATGTCAGTGCCTCGTGCCAGTGCCCATCAGTGCCACATATCAGTGCACACCAGTGCACATCAATGCCACATATCAGTGCCCATCTGAGCTGCCTTTCAGTGTCACCCATCAGTGCCAGTCAGTGCCACCTATCAGTGCTGCCAATCAGTGCCACCTATCAGTGCCAGCCAGTGCCGCCTGTCAGTGCCAGTCAGTGCTGTCTATAAGTGTGCATCAGTGCCAGTCAGTGCTGTCTATCAGTGCCAGTCAGTGCCGCCTATCAGTACTGCCTATCAGTGCCATATATCAGTGCCATGTATCAGTGCTGCCTTTCAGTGCCTATCAGTGATGCCTGTCAATGCCCATCAGTGCCACCTACCGGCGCTTCATCATCAGTGCCCATCAGTGCCACCTATCAGTGTCCGTCAGTGCAGCCTATCAGTACCCATCAGTGCAGCCTCATTAGCGCACATCAGTGAAGGAGAAAAATCACTTATTTACAAAATTATATAACAAAAACTAAGAAAAAACACATTATTTTTTTCAAAATTTTCAGTGGTTTTTGGTTCGTTTAGGAAAAAATAAAAAACCCAGAGGTGATTAAATACCACCAAAAGAAAGCTCTATCTGTCACAAAAAAATGCTAAAAATTTCATATGGGTACAGTGTTGTTTGACCGCGCAATTGTCATTCAAATTGCGACAGCGCTGAAAGCTGGAAATTGGCCTGGGCAGGAAGGGGGTATAAGTGCCCTGTAGGCTAGTGGTTAAAAGAAATCTGGCAGGATATTTTCTTGCTCCACCATTATCAACATATATTTTGTAAGTGCTTTATACTGGGGCTTATCTTATCTTGCCCTTTGTTGGAATACACTGTTCATGTATTTTTGTGCAACAACTACACCAACAGTATTCAGTAGAGATATCTTCTTCAACCAGTAGATTGCAGTGTTTAAAGGTTTGTAGCTGCATCTATGATAGCTCAATGATAGATGGAAAGTCAAATGAAAATTCTGTTGATAACAGAAGGTAATGAAATGAATGGAAATGAATAAATTAAGTTAGGCCCGAACACCCAGATGAGTGGATAGAGATAGATGAAAAAGCTCAGAGCACAATCTTTCTTAGCATAGAAGATCAATTCATACATATTTGTAAGTATGAAACTGCTAAAGAAATGTAAGGATGATTACAATAGTTGCATGAAAGAGCTAATCTCAGCAATAAACTGTATTTGATTAGAAAGCTATTCCAAATCAAGCTGATGAAGGCCAGGATATGCAGGGTTACATAAGGCAAACCTTAGAAATGTTTAAACGCCTGAGTGGTATAGGAGAAAGAGTAAAGGATTTTCATGATGCAGTACTATTACTTAGTGGTTTACCAGAAAGTTATGAAACGCTTGTCACAGCACTTGATGCATGTCCAGATGAAATATGAAGGAAGAAACGTATTTTTCTTCAGATAATTAATATGTTTTTCGATACACAAACTGCACCTCATCTGTGAAAAATGTCCTGTATGTCCCTGCTCTTGAAACAAATCTTTTGTCAGTAAAGAACCTCACAAAACAAGGCAATGTAGTGACCTTCCAATATGACAGTTCTGCCTTCGCAAAAGGGGATATCTTACTTGCAAAGGCTAAAATTACAGATGAACTGTATCAGCTGAACTGCAATGAGGTGGTTAATACTGACAAGGAATAACAACTTTCATACTGTATTCACACATGGCACAGATGCCTTGGGCACAGAAGTCCTGACATAATAAAGAAATTAACTTAAAATGGCTATGCATGTGGAATAAAAATTGGTCCATGTGATCAAACAATAAAATGCACCAGCTGTATAAAAGGAAAAATGACCAGAAAAGACTTTCCCATACAGAGTAGCAACTGAGCTAAGAAACCTCTGGACTTAAATGATTCAGATCTTTCCGGTCCAATTGAAAAATTGATGCCAGGAAAGAAGAGGTGTTTTCTCACTTTTAAAGATGATTATTCCAGGTACTGTATACTACACTATATCTGTTACACAACAAAAGTGAAGTACAAGAGAAACTTGAACAGTAATTGGCTCAAGTAAGCAACAAATTTGGCATAATGCTGCGTGTATTGCGCATAGACAATAGAACCTAATATACAGGTGATAACACACAGGCGATTCTCAGACAGCATGGCATAATATTTCAAAGTACTGAACCATACAACCCAGAACAAAACGGAGTTGCAAAAAGAATTAACTGTACTTTGTGTGAAAGTGGAAGAACCATGCTGCTTGCTGCAGATACGTATGCCAAGCACATACTGGGAGGAAATTATGACCCCAAACTATCTCCAAAATTGACTACTAGGAAAACTCCATATGAACTGTGGAAAGGAAAAGTCCCAAAGTGGAACTATCTAAACATTTTTGGAAGCAAAGCCTATGTGCACATCCTAAAAGAAAAATTTACAAAATGAGATGCTTGCGCAAAGGAAGGTGTGCTTATGGGGTACAGTGAATCTCAAAAGGGATACAGAACAATACACCAAGACACAAACACGGTAACTATCAGTAGAAGTGTAATTGCAGATGAAACTTAATTGTGTTCAACATTTCATGAACTAACACAAACACTTCATACTGAAGGAAATTCCACATTAGTGTCACATGAAGATAAGCAACAAAGTGGCATAGAAATAGAAATTAACGCAGACAATCCAAATATTGTAAAAGAAGAAACCAGGCCACAAGAAGCTTCAATACAGAATCGATAACCAGGAACATGTGCATATCCAGAGTCAGGACACCTAATATATACTGTACTTACATGTTCCAGGTGAGGGACTCTCTAAGCACAACACATTATGAAAGATTTATGAATGTGCACAGTGGGAATGCTAAATATCCTACTAGATTGTTTGTTATGCTTACGTTTTAATTAAAACAAGGAATGCAAACGAAATCAATTAGGTGCACTAATTGCATCTCAGTCTATTAAGCAAGAAAAACACTGATACAAAGTGAATTTAATTAAGCTTAGTTAGAGAGCTCCTGGTACCCGATTGTTAATTGATACCTTCACACCTATTCTCATTCTCTAAAGAAAACAAAATGTTAGCTTTAAAGTTATGTCCACCTTTAAATAATAAAAAAAATACATGCTCATATATTTGCAGAAAGAAAAATGTACAGTTGCAACTGTGATCCTGCAGACTTTTCCTCCAGCTCCCTGCCCAAACCAAGGTATGAGCTTTCAATTGGAGAGCTGGAGGAGGTATCAATGGACTGCAAGTACAATGACAGGGGTGTAGGTAGGGGGGGGGGTCAGGGGGGTTCAAACCCCCCAGAGCATCCAAGTGCCAAGTGCTGCTGCACTGCTTGTCAACAGCACAGCAGTGGCAGCGCAGGGGAAGTGCATGGGTATTTTTATAGCTCTCCCCAAGGCCTTTTTTTCTGGCAGAACTGCATTCCAGCCCCTCCACCAATTGGCTCAGGCAGGCAGGATCTATTTTTCATCTGGCTGCGGAGAAGCATCAGTATCAGGCACTCCCTCTATGACTGTGTCCCAGCATTAGGGCTGCAAGGAAAGGTTTAATATATCTGTCTCCTAAAGCTGCCACTGAAAGCCTGCCCTGTTCTGCAGTGTGCTCTCTGTTCTGCTGAAGTGCAGGATTGGAGCTCCTTGTCCCTGACACTGATCAATTGCTGGAGCCCGTAACACTGTGCTACTGCTTACAGGCTCCATGAACAGACATGTGATGACTTCACCGGTGATCGAATCAGCACATTTCTGTTCATGCAGCTTGTAGATACTGGCACAGTGTAACAGGCACCAGCAACTAATGACTCAGGTGCAAACACTAACACCACTCTCCTGCACTTCAACAACACTCACTGTGCAGGTAGTTATATCACTGCAGGCAGGAAATTGGGACATTGGGTGCATGGACTTTCCAGGGTGACCAGCAGCACATAGGGATTCGGGTAAGCAGTACCTGTAAAAATGTCTTCCCACCACCGCACCTCACTGACCCCTCTTCCCACCTGCCTACCCTTCATACAGCCTCACCTACCCCTCATACCACCTCACCAACACCTCATACCGCCTCACCTACCCTTTATATAGCCTCACCAACCCCTCATACCATACCAACCCTTCCACCACCACACCTACTCCTCATACCACCTCACCAACCCCTCATACCGCCCTCGCCTACCCTTCTTACCGCCTCACCCACCCCTCATACCACCTCACCAACCCCTCATATCCCCTCGCCTACCCTTCATACAGCCTCACCTACCCCTTCATCACCAACCCCTCACCCTCACCAACCCTTCATACCACCCTCACCAACCCCTCATACCACCTCACCAATCCTTCATAGCACCACACCTACTCCTCATACCACCTCACCAACCCCTCATACCGCCTCGCCTACCCTTCATACAGCCTCGCCTACCCTTCATACAGCCTCACCTACCCCTCATACCACCTCACCAACCCCTCATACCACCTCACCAACCCTTCATACCACCACACCTACTCCTCATACCACCTCACCAACCCTTCATACCACCACACCTACTCCTCATACCACCCTCACCAACTCCTCATACTGCCTCGCCTACCCTTCATACAGCCTCACCTACCCCTCATACCACCACCTCCACCAACCCCCCTCATACCACCTCTCCAACCCCTCATACCGCCTCCCCTACCCTTCATACAGCCTCACCTACCCCTCATACCTCCTCACTAACCCTTCATACCACCACACCTACTCCTCATACCACCTCACCAACCCCTCATACCCACCTCGCCTACCCTTCATACAGCCTCACCTACCCTTCATACAGTCCTACATACCCCTCATACCTCCTCACCAACCCCTCATACCACCTCATCAACTACTCATACCACCTCACCAACCCCTCATACGGCCTCACCTACCTTTCATACCACCTCACCTACCCCTCATACCTCCTCACTAACCCCTCATACCACCTCACCAACCCCTTCATACGGCCTCGCCTACTCCTCATACACCTCACTTACCCCTCATACCTCCTCACCTACCTTTCATACCACCTCACCTACCCCTCATACCTCCTCACCACCCTCTACCACCTCACCAACCCCTCATACGGCCTCGCCTACTCTTCATACAGCCCCTCACCTACCCCTCATACCTCCTCACCAACT